TATATATATATATATATACATATACATATATATAGAGAGAGATAAATAGATAGGTAGACAGATAGATATTGATTTAGATAGATAGAAAGATGGATAAATATATAGATAGATAGATAAAGATTTAGATAAATAGATAAAGATTTAGACAGATAGAAAGATGGATAAACAGATAGATAGATTGATATGGATAGGTAAATAGATAGATATAGATACAGAGATAGAATAATAAGTATAGGTATAGATGAATAGATAGATAGATGGATGAACACACACACTCATATTTATATAATACCTATGAGTGTATATATATTTTTCAAATGTATAATCCCACACATATATATGCACCGCTGCCCCTGCCCTGCCGCCCCCTCACGCGCCCTCCCTTGCAGGCGGCGGAGCCCAGGGACTACGCCCCCCCGAACCCGCACAACCCCTTCGCGTCGGCCGCCCCGCCGCCCACCAACCCCTTCAGCGCCGGCTTCACGCAGGAGGCGGTGCAGCCGACGTCCCAGCAGTACACTCAGGGCCAGTACTAGGCGCCTCCCTCCTGGTCCAGCCCTTTGCTCTGCCGGGGACGCGCCGCCGGTCTTCAGGAGCCAAGGAGGTCAAGAGGCCGTCGGGTCTTCGCTGGCTCTGGCTGCTTGACCTCCGCCTGGTCTAGTACAAGGTCACCAGAGGTAGCAGCGAGGTCAACTAGCTGGGGATTTCGAGGCCAACAGCACGTCGTCGGTCGCTGGGGTCGAAGGGAGGAAACGCGCCAGTGGAAAGAGAGGTCACTGATGAGAGGATTAGACCAGCGACATTATTAGGTCATGAGGACAGTACAAGGTCAATATAAATAGTATTAGATCTACCAGCAACCGTATATAAGTTTAACCCTCTATTAGAGTTAGGCCATAGAGAACCAAGTATCTAATATTTTAGTGTGTTCAAGAAAGCATAACAGTGTATTATCAAGACGATATAAAGAGGCTTTTCCATGGATAATGGAACATACATTTTCGGGTAGACTTTATTATTTTCGTCTCAGGATGTCACGCTCTGATGTTCCAAGGCTTTCGAGCATGAATCTCAAATACACATCTAGTCAGTATTTTTTTTTTCTTTTTTCTTTTTTTTTTTTTGAAAATGTGAGGAGAATGTTCCTATTTCTGGCACCGAAGTTTATTTGTATATATATGTATATCATTTGTCTACTTTCTCGCCCCGTGTGTATATTTTAGCAGTTGCCTGCCGATACTTGACTCCATATACCTAATTAGGAAAGAGACCTAACTGTTGTAATGCCGTAAGTAAAGTATGATTCTCACACACTCCATTCATGAGCGATATTTTATTGTATATATCATTCAGTTCTCTTAAGCGAAGCACTCATTAGGAAACCGAAAAGCTTGCATGGCGTATGCATAGTTATAATATATTCTATTCATTGGATCCCATTCAATCACCTCAAGAATAGCCAATGATTGCTAGGGCCAATTTGTGATTTTATTTACCTCCCTATCTATCGATATATTTTCGGTTCACAAATGCACAATGGAAGAGATATAAGTTATACAATCATCACTACTTATTGCACGAGAAAAGACCCATACAATCACCATAGCTTATTCACAATATATTTCCTTCGCCAAACACATCATGAGTCCAGTGATAATAATGACGATGGTGATAGATATAGATATAACAGTAATATTATAGTAATAACAATACTCATTTTTCTCCTTCTCTGCATAATCAGTCAAATCACAGAAAGAAAAATCCAGTATCCTTTTTCCTTTTCTTTCGTTTTCATTCCACAAAAACGAGATTTTCCGACCTTGCTACCCACGTGACCATATAGCCTTCCAGTCTATACGCGTGTGAAGACTCGATACTAAGTGCTTCATGTAATTTTTAAGTGGTCGTACTTTTAAGAGGCAGCGTCGACGTTCCCGAGTGGCATCCGCGTCGAGTGTAAGGTGTGGTCTGTGGGGTCGAGTGCGTGTCGGTTCGAAGACAAGTCGAAGGGGTAAATCTGTGGGGAAAGGTGGAGTCTGAAGTCCACCGGTAGATTTTTGGCTTTTGAAGAGATGTGGATTAAGGTCATTCCTTGGGGTGATTTTGGGGGGGATCGTTGTAACTTGTATTGAAAAGGATGAAGATGTTGCGTGTTTAATGAGGAAAATAGACGAGAAAGGAACCAGAAATATACCTCCAGAGACGCTTCCGCAAGGTATTTTCTGAGTGCATCGAGGTATTTTAAAGAGAATTAAGAGGGTGCGAAGAAAATGAAGAGGAGGAGGAGAAGGAGAGGAAGAAAAAGAGAGGAGGAGGGAAGTTCTTAATAAGAAGAAAAAGGGAAAGAGGGGGAAGCCCTGAAGGAAGCTAGAGTTGTTTTTAAGCTTGGCAAGATGGAGGACCTCCACCGCGTCGCACCTTACACTCCCGCGGCAGCGAGGGCGACGGGCGAGGGAGGCGGAGTGAGGGCGGCAAACTCCGCGCCGTCTTGCGATGAGATTCTTCCGCTGCTGTAAGTAGTTATTTTTAGTTAAGCCGGCAGTCAACAGATGGCGTTCCTAAAGCCGCTTGACGATGCTTCTTGGTCAAGAACGTTCAAACCGTGTTGACCAATGAACGTCGTCGCTGCTTTCAGGGCGCTGTCTCCTGGCGATCGCTGCAGCTAAAACCAACTCCCTTCTTTCGCAATCCGCATCGCGAGGAGCTACGTTCCCTCACTGCGCCGCCCTCGCCGCCGGCGCCCCCGCGAGCAGCCCCTCGAGCGCGCGACGCCCATGCCGTAACTCGCGGTGCAGACGAGCGAGTCCCCCGCGAGTGCGCCGCCGGAACATCACCCGCCATCAGTCATCATCAGGTCTAGAGACAGCCTTATCTACCACGGCCGCACGAGGGAGGGACTCGCTCGCCGCCTCGCACCTTAGGTTAGTTGATCAAGAAACCCCGGGACGAGGCCGCGCGGTGTGGCGGGAGCGGCGGCGTCGGGGATACGCTGAAACTGCCGTAAAAGGACCCGTCTCCCGCATCAAATGTACGCGGGTGCTTTTAGGAGGGCAGTGGCAGCCGATCCTCGGGGCACGCCGATGGCCGCCACACGCCCCCGTCCCCAGCGGGGTTAAATCAAGTAAATCCAGTGTTTTCCATAGGTTTAATGCTGTCCTAGGTGACTGTAAATCATCCCAGGACGATATTATGCGTCGAGGGAAAGAGACGAGGAACCACACATGCACAGGGACGAGTTTTAGGGGCCGTGAGCATGTGAAATTATCTCCTTTTTTGCGATCTTGTGGTTGGTCGTTCTCTTCCCTCGACGTGCGCCACGATGAGGACTCTGTAAAGACGAGTGTGCTGTCGTGTCTGTGTGAAGTGTTAGTGTATAATGTGGTTACAACACTTAATCATCCAAACTGGTGTATTCTCTCGACCATTCTTTCTCCTGCGGTTATCACCCTATATCTATGTTTATGTTTTTGTTCTTTTTTTCTCTCTCTTTCTTTCATTCTCTCTCTCTCTGCCTCTCTCTTTCTCTCTTTCATTCTCTCTCTCTCTCTCGCCCTCTCTCTCTTTCATTCTCTCTCTCTTTCATTCTCCCTCCCTCTTTCTCTCTCTCTCTCTCTCTCTTCTCTCTCTCTCTCTCTTCTCCTCTCTCTCTCTCTCTCTCTCTCTCTCTCTCTCCTCTCTCTCTCTCTCTCTCCGGCTTTACGCACTGTCGCATTTCACCCTGTAAGAAGCATCTGCAATTCATCACTATACAGTTTTCACGTTGTTCACCGTCGTATGTGTTGAAGTCTATCCCTCCCCATAGTGAGTGTAGTGAGCGGTCGTGGCGAGAACGTCTATGTTTGTGTCCTTGTGTGTCTCTAGACGTGATAGAAAATGTAGTAATAAAGGGGTTAGGGAAGGGGGAAGGGAGGGAGGGAGGGGGCAAAATAGGGTCGAAAAGAGGACGGGAGATGGGAGGAGAATAAGGGAAAGAGGGAGGTAGGAGGGTATGTGTGGGAGGGAGGGAGGGAAGGAGGGAGGGAGGAAGAGGAGAAGGGCATGGAGAAAGGGAGGGTGGGAAGGGACTGGGAAGGAAGGGAGGAAGGTATAGCACTCTTTTCATTCACTGTCTGTGTTTCATCATCACGTAAATTGTTCATTCTCCCTTTTTTTCGAGTAAGAAGAGCATCGTTTATATATACTAGTTCATCAAAGGTCAAGCATTGTGGTTACTTGTATATACAACTGTCTCTTATCGTATTAGTAGAGTCGCCCTTCTTTCTGTCGCTACCTGCCTGCCACGGACCTCCTGCAAACCGCGGGCACGTGCAGCCTACGCGAGTCGCCGCATGTGCACACAAGGTCTATATAAGTATATAGACCCTGTGTGCACACTCGTGTACGTACATCACAGCACACACCTCCGCTTCCCAGACCCTTGCTGCTGCTGCGAGTGCCACACACACAGATCGCTCCTGTCTTCCTGGTCTTCCATCACCGGCCATATTCATTGTCTTCTTGTTATCCGGCGACCGTGTGTGGGCAGCAGCGGCCAGTGCTCTCATGGGCTTTCCTTGAGGAATAAGATGATGCCTCAAAATGCCGACGAGTTTATTGCAAATTGCAGATGGGAAGGTTTCTTTCCTCGGTACGCTGCAACTTACGTAATGGGTTTCTCTTGGTATGATGCACTTTGCAAAATGCTTTATATCTTTCATTCGGTATGATGTATATTGCAATATGTGTAATATCTTTATTCTAGCATAATTCCAATTACAAAATTTGTGATATTTTCTCTCGGTATAAAGCATACAAACAAAATGTTTTAATGCATCTCTTTCATTAGGTACAGCAAGCAAACAATAAACAAAAAATATAATATACCCCTAGTCAGCACATTGTTGATATCAGTAACAATAATCACCAAATATATATATATATATTATATTATATATTATATATATATATATTATATATATATATATATATATATTATATATATTATATATATAATATATATATATATATATATACATAATATATAATACATATATATTATATATATATATATATATATATATTATATAATATATATATATATATATTAAGAAAAAAAACGGCCGCCCAAAACCCAAAAGTGCCGCCCACAAACGCCCACACCCACAAACACACAAAAGGCATCATCCATTTTCCCCAAGGAGTAGAGAGAGGAATAACCAGCAGGTTTTCATAGATTCATTCATTCATTAGCCGGCATATGTAAATAGGCTTACATCTCTTTTTGTATGGATATTTTTTGTACAGTAGGCTATCCAGTGAATGTCGTACCGTCGTTGTAAATGAGATCTTATTATATACCGTATCCAAAAGAGATATTTATTGATTTGTCAATTAATCTATTCATTGATTTGCCTTTTATTTTCTTTCTTTATCTATCTATTTAACTATCTATCTGTCCATCAACTATCTATTTCTTCTCTATTTAACTACCTATCTGTCCATCTCTCTATATAAGTATCTATCTGTATTTATTCATCTATTTACCTATTGGACTACC